TAGACATCAATTAATGCACACGTGTCACCTGATCCACATATGTACGGATTCCTTTTTACATGAGTAATTTATGATATATTAATGCAGAAGAGAACATTTTTATTCGCAAACATGTCTGTATTTGTAAAAATTGCTGCACATTCATTTAATCCTGAATTCCACAGACTCAAATTGAAAGGCATTTGTTTGTGGTTAGTAAGATACATGTATAAAATTTATGCAGTACATGGATAATTGTGCGTGCATCTATTAATCATGTTGAGTCTAATATCATCCCATACCAAAATAATGCACATGAACGTGTCTGTGCGGCTCTGAATGAACTCCTTTTGTGGATGCGATCTTCCCGCAACAGCGTGCAGAAACACGGCAACTAAACTATAAAAATTCACAGCGTTTTATTATAATAGTGTTCTCATTATAATGTTATGTGTATGACAGTCCCAGTCATAGTTATTAATATTCTGCATTGTTGGCTGTCCTGCTCGCGCTGCGCGCTGAAGAGATAATCACCGTAGTACTACAATAAAGCGCTTGACTCAACCAAATGCATCTTATACGAGATACATATACACGAGATATATATATATAAGGCTGAAATGTTTTGAAATCACTTGTACCCTACCTGATCGAAAAAAATCCAGTCTTTCACTCTGTCTGTCAGTTTGAGTCTTGTTAAAGCTTTAAATCCCTGCCGCCAAGATGCTCCTCTGTCGGTCACGGATTATAGAAAGTGAAACTTAAATCTATAGGGGTGGTTGGATTTATTCACGTACGTCAAAATATTTATTTGAAGCTTCTTTCTTTTCAGAATCTTATTTACAGCATTATCATAATAGGCTGTATATTAACTTATTGGGAGAAAACCGGTAGGTCTATGTGAAATCAGACATTTGAGCACCACCATATAGGCAAAATGGCATGATCATAACACCCCGCGAATATTCGACTGTGAGATTGGTAGTCGAATCAGGCTCCTCCTATTGAAGCATCCAATCGTCGACTATTCGGGGTCACCCCTGTACAAAATGATTTTATTTTGTAAATTTTCCCATTAAATGTTGCTTTGTGTTCTTCTCGGACTTTAATAAAATAATGTAACATTTGGGGGTGAACAAGCAGAAGAGCAGGCCAAAACTAGAAGCTAAAATAGCAAAAATCTCCACAGCAGTTGTAAATTTACCAGGTGAACTGACATATGCAAGTACAAATGCTAGCCACACTGCACAAAATATAAGCATGCTGAAGGTGATGTATTTGGCCACAACTTCCGGGCCAGAAAAGCCAGAAAAAAATTACAGAGGCCAAAAGGCCAATATATCCCAGCACGCACCAGAAGGCCAGATCAGAGCCCACACTGCAATCCAGGATGATCTTGGACTGTTGATATTTAGTGTTTCTATAGGGGAAAGGATGGGATATTGTAAGCCAAGCAGTACATATAATCACCTGGACCAGAGTGCAGCAGAAGATGATTATTCTCTGCTGTGTGGGGCCCAACCATTTCATTATATTGTTTCCAGGTCGGGTAGCTATAAAAGCTGCCAACACAACTAAAGTCCTGCCCAGGATGCAGGAGATGCAGAGAGAGAAAGTGATGCTGAAGGCAGTGTGTCGCAGCATGCAGGACCAGGATGTGGTAGTTGTTTTTTTGGTGTTTGGCTTAGTGTTATGTTAGAATCATTATTATACTCTTATACCTTTTGTTCTTTAATAATTTGAATTGTTTTTAGCTTTATTTTTATCTTTTCCTAAAGTCCTGCCCAGGATGCAGGAGATGCAGAGAGAGAAAGTGATGCTGAAGGCAGTGTGTCGCAGCATGCAGGACCAGGATGTGGGTTCCCCAATAAACACCAAAGCGCATAGAAAACACAGAACTCAGTTTTTTTATCTTGTTATCACTGACTCTGAGTTATTCACACGGACTATAGGGGTTCCTTTGTTGTAAAGCAATATCACCAGCACTGTGACAGTCAGAAATGCTCCCACTACAGCTATCAGAGTCAGGGTGATTCCCATTGCATCATGGGAGAGAAACTCAACCACCTT